TTCCTATATTTCGATTTAAAGCTTTCGTGACTGCAGGGATTCATCGTCTTGGTTCTTTCGGTAAAGTCACGTAGAAGGGAAGTAATAAAATAATAAAAATTAAACATAATAAAACTAATTCTCACGACGTTTCGGCCACAACGCAAGCAGCCGTCCTCAGGTGAAGACCAGGTCTGTCGGGGAGACATTCAGACGCTGTCTCCCCGACAGACCTGGTCCGAAACGTCGTGAGAACTATTTTATTATGTTTTATTTTTATTTTTTTATTACTTCCCTTCTACGTGACTTTACCGAAAGAACCAAAAAGATGAACCTTTCCTATCTGATCCCTGAACCTTAACTGTGTTATGTTTGGTGTTGTCGTTTTTCCTGAAATCACAAAGCATGGAAGTCGCTACGAGTTCCCTTACTCCTTCGTTAATTGCCGAGACAGCCTCTGAGAAATGCACCAACAAAGGAAGCGATGCGTAATCGGCTCTGTGATGTGCTCGTGTAGTTGCTCTCGCGAGATACAGGTCGTGAATACAGCGAATAACTGTGTAATGCATGAATAATTGAAGAACAAGTGCGTGCCGCATTGTTTCAAATTAATTTATAAGATTAATTTCATGCCAGGTGAGAGCTCATTAAGTGTAGCAAATGTCTTTTACAAGGGAGACCAGAATACCCAAGTGGTATATCCACAATATTGACCAATAAAATAAACATGTAACATACTTACCGCCCAGAAAAAAGCCCCACAATCAACTCCGTTGTCAGTTGGTAAAACGTGACCAGGCTTCTGTTTCTGATATAAATGACTAAATATTTATAAATGTGGTCTCATTGGTGCAAGACCTTCTGAATGTTATCTCTCTCTTATCCTGAAGCGTCAAGAGTGAAGCAGGAAGCCATACAAAGTCTCCAATACTGCCCACGAGGAATGCCCTCCAGGTCTTCATTAATCCTTTCTCTCTGTGGTGTGTTGGCAGTCTTTCCCACATTCTTGCTCCCCTATAGCTTATACTCATAGACTTTCCTGGGCTGCCTTTAATCTGACTTTTTCAAACACTGTCCCAATCACCTCAATCTTCTCATCTCTTAGCCATTATCTATAATATCGAGTTCACACTGCGCTGATTTTCGATCGAGTTTGACACGAAGTCGATCCACTTTACTCCATCAGTACCCCCCGAGTACTCTCGGCTTCCTCCGATCTGCTAACACCCCTTTGATGACTGGCGCCACGGTGGCGAGATCTCGCCCTGTATGCAGGTCGTGGGTTAAATCCCGAACCTGCTGTCACCTGTATATTTGGAGTTCGCGTGTTCACGTGGATTTTTCTCCAGGTCCTCCAGGTTTTTTCCTCCACATTTAGAAACATGCGTTTACAGTCTTGGGCTGCTATACATTTCCACATGATGATAAGCCACTTCGTTGAGCTATAATTTGTGAAAGCCAGGTCGCTTCTGAAAAAAGAGCTATATACCTCAGTGGGCCTTACCTGGTAAATAATAAAGTTATAGTTAGAGAGACTATCTACGCGGCCCTGAGTGAGGTTGCCATTGCCCTACTTTGATCGCACTCTCCCTGTGGTGTTGACATTCACATCTCCACTTTCCTAAGCGTTGCGCCTCTTGCGACGTCGCACACGACAACTCTTGACCTCTCTCTCTCTCTATGCTGCCCCCGTGCATTCACCCGACTACCAAGGTACAGTGTTCCACCTCTTCAACTGTATCATCAGTCACTGGCTGCTTTCAATAGTTCAAAAAGTCGCACGGGTTAAAAAAGAAAGGTTGGTGTACCCCACCCCTCAACTTGCTGCTATGAGCATGAATATGCCTAGTCGGTTGACCTATGATATTCGAATCGTGAACAATCGATATACGTGAATGCATGGAGTTAACCAAATGCAAAAATACAACTTTTGTGGCTTTAATTTGGCCAAGCGCATCGCGTTTTAAAGTCGACATTCAATTACCATTATTTTTTTTTTACAAATCACCGAACTCGGTTTCAATAACAGCTGATCACCCCGTCGTGAAACGAATTTTGTATCGTAATTACGCAGCGATGGTAACAACACGAATAGTAGTAGTTAGAGTAACAACAGGAATGGTAGTAGAGTAATGAAGACGCGTTCTGCTGGGAAATGCCGTGCAGTGTCAGCGTGGAGTGGCAGAGAGCCAAGCGCATTCCACTGCGCGCTTGTCATCCCGATCAGCAGACTCGGCCCTATAAACGTCAAGAGACGATAATTCACCGACTACTGAAAAGTCATTCCCCGCCGGTTACACTGGGGGAGGAGGAGTAGTTTCTTTTGGGCAGAGCACGCTAGCCAACCAAACATTAGCCATACCCCGAACCAACTATCCAAAAACCCATGTGCCGACGCGAACCTTACCCCTAACCAGTTGGCCAACCAGTCACTAGTGCTGACTTGCTTTATTGATCCAAACCCCACCCCTAACGCCACCTTTTTTCAACGATTGCAAGTCCCTTCACTTTTATTTTGCTATCTGTGGTGCGTGCATTGCGCCATCGGTGGCAAGCGATGTTTAAATCTTCCGTGGCTCTCTCGAGTGTCCCTTGAGGTCTAAGCAGCACCTGGGCTGGTGTATGAACGCGAGCATTGGGGAGACAAAGGCAGGTGGGAGTCATTCTGGTGACAAAAACCCCCCTTGCGGGCAATTCCAGCCTTGATCGGTGTGAACTAAAATCACTAGCCCCAAAATTATGCATGGATATACTGTATGGAGGGATGTGATCCCGTGTAATGATCGTGAGAAATGTTTCTATAAAAATTCCAATATTAAAAAATAAAAGGCAGCAAATAGGTTTTTAAGTCGATATAAGCTTCGGGATCTCGGCAGTAATTCTATAGTATCCGCTTCCGAGGATCAAAATGGATTCAACACGATGCCGATAGCAAAATATGGAAAAAGATGACAACATAAAAACAACTTTCAGTCACACCTAAACTCATGAATACCCTTGCATTAACTTCCTCTACATGCACATATTTGTATCATGTGAAATATTGAGTTTTCAAAATTGTTTTTCAGAAAAGTCCTGCATTGGAATGTTTGGCAATTCCATGAATGTCTCACATGTGGAAGGATATTGGAGTACCCAGAGAAACCCACGCATGCGAGGGTGTGATACTCAACACTGGCATCACCAGGCCACCTCATAGCCCCATGTTGACAACAACCGGCAAGTTCTAGCAGGCGCCATTCCAAGTTTCCAACAGGCTTAATCCTCAAGTGTCTGAGAGCTGATGAAATTGGGTACATTTGCGATGTGCTCACAGACATAACCCCGTTTTTCGAAGGGGTCTATCGAGTGACTTTGAGAGAAATATCGTTTGGGTGACTCCATGTGGTCAACGTTTAAATGAGGACACAAAATCGAGCACATTTTCACAGCCAATTTAAACAAACATCAGCGTAAAACGAGCCACGCTTGGCATGCAGGTGGGGGGGGGGCAGTGTTTCAGAAAAAAGTTTTGTTTATTTTCTTTCCATTCGTAAAGTGCATTTATAATTTTGACAGCCATCAATCTTTCCATATCGCCACAATTGTAGCCTACAGATAAGCCCACGATTTTTTGCGACATCTTGCACATAGGCATCTTAGAGGCAGTGGGCACTGGTACAGGGCATTTGCGTGATGCACACCGGGAGTATATTTGCTCTTCACAGTTACATCACGGCAAACTCGAGAAACAAACAAGCACAAACGAGACAGCGCCGCACGTCTCACTCACTCGGCACGTTCCAGCACCAGTTTAAACAATAAAATTACTTCCACCCCAGCAGAAGAACGGACAAATCCTCACCACTTGTCAATTTAACGTCACCGTCAGCCATTCTCTATCAACTGCCGGGTGAAAATAAACCTCTAACCGTGTTGTTGCTGAGAACACCAAAACTTAAACATGAACAAGGCGCGTTAGGGACAATGGCAATACCCCAGAGTTAGCGCTAAGAGTCGTAGTATGGTCATTGGCAGGGTTATTCTTCATGGTTGATTGGCTGATTGGTTAGAGCTAGACCCAGAGGCTGGATGGCTAGTTGGTTAGTTAAGGAATCAGATCACATTTGATTGGTCAGTCTGCTCCACCCACAAATTGCTCAACCTCCACCCCATTGCCAATGCATGGCGTTTTCAGTTGTTGCCTGCTTTTCCTTCCCCGTGCTCACAGCGCCAGACACGAGCCCCAATGTCAACTCACACGACCTTGGTTATGCCCATGCTGACGAGGCGAGCCAGTTGACCCTCGTTCCATTAAGCGTAGGTCGTTGTGTTCCTACGAAGCCTTGTAATTGTGCTGAAAGTGCAACTAAATCTCCTGTACAGACACACAGACCGCGGGGAAAGTTCTGGCACCTATTAAGGCTGGCACAGCATGTGACACGTGGGGGATGGTGGCCAGCACCGTGCCTGACAGCTTTGTCTATCCACTGTTGATGTTGAAACATCTCACCAGCTAATCATTAAATGCCAACTCGACATACAGAAAGTCCAGCACTGTGCTCATAATATCCTTACAACTCTTTTTCGCGTACATTTGTCAACGAGCTCACAAGGCCATGCCCACATAAGGCCAAGGCTCAGCTGAGCAGGTTGGGTGCTGAGGTCCCCAGTGCGTGGTGCAAGGGTTGTGTGTGCCCTACCGGGGTCAGTCACGTGCTGCGACCCTGTCAGCTGATCCCTCGGGCTAACGGACTCGCCCTGAGAATCAAGGTCGTCCGTAAGCTCAGCGCTGTTTTACGTCGGTCAGCTCGATAGGATATCTGATGAAGATTATCTTTGTAGTTGAATGTCAATTTTAAAGAAGAAAAAAATGCGGACCGCTGTGCCAGTTGTGTTTCCCCCCCCCCTCCCCCCCCATTGCAAGTTTGCATCAGTCAATACAGACTTGAGCGGCAGGCGAAATTATTGGCAGACGGGAGGGAAACAAAAAAACAAACATTCAATATCAGTGGCAATAACCGACAACCAAAAAGGACAAGTGGTTTAATTTGGGTTTATAATCAAACATAAACAAATCAGAATAATACAAAATTAAACTGTTACATAGGACACCAAAACATTACTGTGGCACGATCAGGGGCATATTTCATATAGTTCCCCAAAATTGACGTATTCGTTATAATTTTATATATATATACTATATATGTACAAAACAATAATATCTATATTCATCATGTTAACAAATTAAACAGTTTGCAGCAAGTGATAACACCTTAAAAACATTGCTTTCCACCTTTCACACTGCACGCAGCACATTGTGATTCTCACAGGTAAACAGCCACACATTACCAAATTTGTGCAGGCGGTGCAATGAGGTGAAAATAGATTTTTGAAACGAAATATCACGCGATCGTCGGAATGACTCCGTGTGTTACAATTAGAGCAAGCCATCACCTGAGCGGCTTTTTTTTTCTTCTTTGCTGTAAGGTGTTACTAATTACATTTTGCCAGTGTGACAACTTGTTCTGCGATGGTAATACAACTGCTGTGAAATTTGAAATTACAACCAATGTCACCCAGGAGATAAAACTCCTGCAAAACGCTGATGTTTTGAACTTTCGTCCCTGATGCCCACCTGCAGTGAATTTTTCACACGATCCAATTTTCTGTTTTGGCACACAAACCAGGTGTAAATTGATACGTGACTTTGGTAATGTACATATTGCACAGGCCTGCCATGTTTCAGACTGACGTAAGCTCGATTCAGGATAGGTCACATAGGCTAAAGTTCATATATCACAGCTGTCACGTGTTGTAATGTACGCGTAATGTCATGAACACGTCCCTGGCCATCGTTAATTCGAGTGAGCATACACTGTGCATATAAATTCACACATAGATTTTTTTAATGAAAAATGAAACTGGAATGATTCCAAAAGCCACAAATGCTCTTACAGCTATAAATAATACCCCAAATTTGCAACAGGCTCCACGTTGGCTTGCAATGTTATCGATCCATTGCCATGATTTTAAAGGTGGGGGGGGGGGGATTTTATCTCCGAAAATAGCACCCAGTCGAGTGCAATGTAGCGAGCGAGGAGAATAAACGTGGCAGTGGGATGAGAGGCTGGGATGGCGTAGAAAAAGATGGCAGTCTTTGGGCCAGGTGCGTTACACATCCCATCTGTGTCCATCCCAGTTTCATATCTCAGGCGCACTGGCCGGAACCAAACCAACTCTACCTTGTGATGATGACCTTCTTGAAACATAATTATTTAATGTGAACATAAATAGAGAGTGAGAGTAAGTACGTTATACAGAAAGAAAAAAAAACATTCAAATTTAAATGTAAAAAAAGAGATAATACTGTGTACATGGTTATCGAACCATCGATGTGGATGTGTGCATTTGTGTGTCAATAATAATTGTACAAACATATCGTACTGTAAATTTCAGTGTGCAATTTTAAATATGGCCTGTCATTTGGCCAAAATGGCTTTACTGTAATGTATGATGGCATAGGCCAGGTCATACAGGCAGGGCTTTCTATCTCTGAGATACAAAAAGCTGGGGCATTTCATGGGACATAATCTCCGAATACTTGAAAAGGGGAAAACTATAAAAAACATTGATGACCCTGGGAAAAGCATAACAGTTGACAACCATACATACAGGATGAAACATCCTCCTTCACACTCAAGATTCTCTACCAGTGCTGCTCTTTAACCAGGACATGGCCTCCCACATCGACCAATTAACACAAGGGTGGGTGCCCTTTCCTTACGCTGGGCTAAAAACTACTTTAGGTTACTTTTCGGTAGGCCACACATTAACACACCGTTGGGGTAACCAAATACTTATAATAATAATGCGAAGAGTAACACGCACGTCGACCGAGTACTGATGAAGCTACCGCATTGACAGAAGTGACAAGAGCATGGCGCTGAAATGAAAAATACAGCTTTTCCAGGTCAAAAACAACCACGGTTACGAATTAGTGCAGCCGAGATGTTTGCAGGGATGGATAAATACTTTGTTTTAAAGTCACAGGGCTCGTGTGGCCCCTGGGTCGTATTAAATGAAGTCATGGGCCGAAATGGCCCAAAGGCCCTGGGGATTCCCCACTCCTCAATTATACACTGGTCAACAAAAAAACATTTCTGGCCTGGACTTTTGCAGCTGTTTTAGACTAATTTCAGGGTGCTGATTCCAAATCTGATCTCAGATTTGCTCTATCACATCTAATTTTATTCTATCGGCATCCCCCATTTTCATTGATTTACCCGAAATTAACTGTCACTTATGATTGCAAGTTGTTGCGAGTCAGTGACTGCTTTAGTGTTAAAATATGGTGTTGTATTTTTAGGATAACATATGCTTATAATATCATTTTATGTAGATATCCACATTTATTATATATTTTTCTTCTGCAATTTTTATCGAAAATGCAATATTTGATATCTCAAAAACCTGATGTGATAGATGCCAGATTTGGAATCAGCACCCCAAAATGACCTTAAAACCGTTGGAATACCTTATGCCAGAAAAAAGTGTGTTGACCAGTGTTATCATTGTAGTGCGTAATCGCCATTCCGTTAATTTTTATTACCAATATTATAATGTGCATACAACGAAAGTAAACTGATAAAGGATGTTGGAGGGGAGGTGTGTGGAGCAGTGTCTGAGAGCTTATGCTTCTCGTGAAACAAATACTTGGGTTGCATTGAGTGCTGTCATGTTGCAAGCTTCCATCGTGCACATTTATTTACATTTTATTGAATCTGGTGGCTGAATATAGGGGAGTTGCAAATCAACTCCTACAGAACAAAATAACATTCTGGATTCCTGTTAAAAATCGCATGGCCTAATGAATGCTGCTTTGCCAAATATAGGTGCGTAGTACCGAATATGCAGACAATTATGTAGACATTTCTCAGTGTGCATCCATTCAGAGATACTCTCAAAAAAGTGATTACATTCCGATGAATGTTCAGATTGTGCCACGTGTTCTTGAACATGATGTTCGTTCGACATCTGTTCCATGACTGAAGAAGCTCACAGCACATGGAGCGAAATATCGGACATGGTACTGAACAACTCGAAAACACACCAGAGAGCTATCCAGCACGACAGCGAAAAGCCACGGAGTAATAACAAAAAATATTCTCGAGGGTAACGAAATGGGACAAAAGTTAAATCGAACATATTCATGTCGAGCATACATAAGTCTATTCTCTATGAGCACTGACGAGATACGTCAAACTTCTTTGTATTTTTTGAGTCAACAAAAATAGTGCGCGATTCTGTACATAAGCATCCATTTACAGAAACGTTTATGGAGCAGGCCGTGATGTTCTCACGCATGCGTCCGTTGATATTTTTGGTTGACATTTAGGTAAGGCAAAAATATCCCTTTCATAACAACTTTTTGTACCGAAAAGAACTAGATTCTTTTTTTTTTTTCACAAAAAATTTTGGTTGCCCAAATAACACATCTCTTGGAGCTCATTTTATTAAAATATATTGCGTTTCTTGAGAAGTGAGGTGCTTTCAGCTTCAATACTTGCACGGATGCAACGAGGGTCGTGGGAGGGCTGTTTCACCACCACGTGTTACTGAAGGGGAGCTTTTCACTTTACAGCCGGCACCATTTTTGCACAGCTCCTTGCTGCTGAAATGAAAACAAAAATGCAAACAATCCTCAAGTTGAGCACCATGGCAAGACAAGCTATTCCAGCATTTATACACGTGCAGTTCTTTATCACTCCACTGCTAGATGAGGGACACACCGTGCCAACAGTGCCGGATTAAGCTAGTGCAGGGCCTGTAGCATATGTTATAAAGGGGCCCTAAATAAATAAATAAAATACGTTAAATTTAAACACATACATTATTAACTTGCATCGTAAAGTAATTGTATTTCTTTTAGGCTATACAGCCAGATAATATGACAAATCGCTAACCTTAAACACCCAGTCACTTTAAAAAGTTGAAGGCAGTATAGTACTATAGTAATAGAGCAAGTGCAGAATCACTGAGCCAGAATTGATAGCTTGAAAGCATTTAATGTGGGGCCCTTGAATGTCTGGGGCTCGTAGCTACATGTGCAGCTACTTGTGCTAATAGGATAATTCGGCACTGCGTGCCAATGATGGAAGTTGTTTGATGAAACGTCACCAAGGCGATCGTCGGTGTGGGTTGGTGAAGGTGGGGATAATAATGCGGGAGCATAGAAGTGCAGTACAACTATGGACTTTGCTGCGCTGCCCACAATATCAGCAGCTTATGATAACCCATCCAAGCAATGTCCCGGCTCAGCTCTGCTTAGCTTGAGATTTAACAAGATTCATTGTGATGTGGTCATTGGCATTTTACTATTTTCATACACACATAAAAACCTATTATGGGGAGGGGTTGAAATATATTGTTCAAACACAAACCCAATATACAATTTTGCCCGGACAATTGCTCAACACGTTATCTCTTAAACAAATCACATCGAGGGTGTGTGGGGGGGGAGAGGACAATGTAAATGAGCACAGGGCGAAACACGAGCGTTCCACTCAAACAAAGCGTTTGCTTCCCCCGGTGTAGCCGAGCCAGAGTGAGGCATTTCTTGTACATTCCTGTCATAGCTCTCCAACTGACAGCCAACAGTGGCACCACAGTGTGCGCCTTCCCACCCCCCCCTGACACGGACGATGAAGATTCAGTGGAAGTTGAAGTTTCCTCTTCCTGGCGCCACAGAGGAATATTGCGATTGCTTGGCGTGGCTGCGTTTAACCCGGGCGGGGCGAAGTTCGCCCGCAAACGTGTGCACGACCTTACGAGACGCTCACAACATGCATGGAACCGAGACTTTGCGGCACCCGATTACGTGCGTCGCTGTAACAAGTCTCTCTCATTTGCACTGGGCTTTCCTCGTCTCAATCGAAGCCTCAAACTATTTCAAGCAAAAGTGGCTGACCGAGTGATGTGTACCCCGTGTCTGCTTTTCGACGTGGTTTTTATCACGATTCTTTAAAATCGTTAACGTTGTTTCTGCTGTTGTTTCTGATGACAAACACGAGACCTGAAATGATTATTTGCCCACCTCTCAATTAATGAAAATGTAATGATTCAGGGTTGCATTTTGGAGAAAAAAAAATTAGATTCTCGCACGCATGATTCTATGCCTGTATGTAATCACCTTAGACATTGCTTCATAACGAGCGAATCAATCAATAAATCGATGATTCATGACACCGTTACTTGATATTAACCCTCAAAACCAAACTCACAAATTTCGATTTAAAGCTTTCGTGACTGCAGGGATTCATCTTCTTGGTTCTTTCGGTCAAGTCACGTAGAAGGGAAATAATAAAATATTAAAACATAATAAAATACTCACAAACTTCCACACGTGGCATTGGTCGTGTAGGTTGTTTACCGATACGTCACCACATTGGTCAGTGCGCGTTCGGTTCAGAGATCACTGGCAGCCGATGTCGGCCATGGCCAGGAATCGAATGCCTTATCCACTGCGCCAACCGCTCCACCTCACAACCCCACGAAAAACATATATTTACTCATTCACTAAACAGCATTAATGCAAGCGTGTATATTTCCTTGCTTCGGAAGTGTGTTTAGAATCGGCAGGCACTTGGGCTCTACTTTAGTTGGAAACTGTTAACTCCTAGCGTGTGTTTTCTTTCTCAGTCGAGGGCCAATGGTTTGTTCTGGAGGCCACCGACGGCGTCACTTCGCACGCCGCCGCGAATGAAATTACCTCGGCAAGCCACTCTGCGCACAGTGCCACGGAGTTTGCGATGTAAAAAAAAAGGTTTAAAAAAAAACCGCAGGGAAATTGAGGTTATATTTCACAGTCACAGCGCATGTTGCTGTTGTCAATGTTGTTTTAACAAACGCATCTATCGTGCCGGTGCTGCAACTGCACCGGCAGTTCCTGGGCCAGAGAGGCCAACTCGTCAGAGGGGGCCGAAGTAACAGAGAGGGGGAAATGGACAGGCCCCCCCCCGCCCCATTTCATCCCTTGTGTCGAACTCTTCTGTCAAAGACAACTGAGTAATGATGGGGCTGGGATGGTAGTCTGCACTCACATCCATAATGGGCAACGTGTGTACAGGTACTTAATGGGTGGATTGGATAATTGGCAATTAAGCAAGGCTGGTGGAACTGGTTGGGACTATATAAAGACAGAGCAGGGTGCCGCGAAGGGGGCCTTCTGATGCTGGGGTTGCTGTGGCTGTACATTATGGTGGTTGAATTAAAGAACGTATAGTCTACGATCTCGAATTGCTGAAGTCCTTTCACATGCGCCAGGACTCGTGCCAACAATGCTAGGCCACTGTTGGGAATACATTTAGATTTTCTCATTACTGTATTGCTTTTTTTAGGCTTTCAGATGGCTTGTACAAGGCTTGCAGGTTGCTGACCTACACGTACAGATATTTTAATTATTATACTTTGTATGCGTGAGTTTTCTGTATGTGACATCAAGCAGTTTTCTCAGCTGAGGCTTTCCTTTCATTCCCTTCAAACCATCCATTGTGTAACCCCCAGAATCCTTCTTCACGTGATGGCAGAGCCCACCCTTGTGCATCTGCTGATAAATGCAAAAACAAAACGAACCAATTGCTCTGGTTTGCATCCTTTGCCTCCCTTTTTTGCCAAACTACAAGAGCGGCGAGAGATAATGCATTACTGCACTGCGTTTCACTCCCCGTTATCTCACCACAGATTCCCAATGGCCCTCCCAGGGCAACTGTGTGCACTCCCCCCACCCCACACACACACACAATGAACCCAATGGGTCACCCCTGGAGCCGTTATTTCCCAAAATGTTGTGCTAACCAAAAGTAAACAGCAAATATTTGCCCCAGTGCCCCTTTTCTGTCAATCAGCTCCCCTCCCCCATACCTCCCCCCACCTTAAATCACCTCATCAAACAGCGTAAACTCCTATCCATCAGAGGTCTATCCATCAGAGGTAATTACAGATCGTAACGCATTTTAACACTTTCTTTGCGCCGAGGCCGCTGGTTCTCCAAAGAGAACACGGTGGTGCCACGATAATTGTGTGTAAATGAGCATGCGTGGCTTAAAGCGGGCGAATTGTGTGTGTGATGCAGACGGGTAATTTTAAGTTGTCAGAAATTGTTGCATGAGCAGAGTCAAAGCTTAAACAGCTGCTTCCTTACAGTAAACCCCGGAGACAACCAGTGGTAAATACTTTGGGTACACCCCGCTGCTAAGCAGCTTGCGATATGTTAATGCTGGACAGTTCAAGCCTCAATGGCTTTTACAGCTCAAGCCCGCCACTGTTTAAAAGAGCTTTTGGAATCCCAGGCCTGGAGTCCTTTTGCGGAGTCCTACACGGTGGTGGTGGTGGTGGTGGCGGGGCGGGGGGGTTAGGGCTGTGCAGAGAAAAACCAAAGCACACCGCCCGCAAAGGGCAGTGGTGGGTTCCCTCCAGGAATGTGTAAATACTCAGCATGGGCGAGTAGGGGGTCTCATTGACAATGTAACATCGGTTGCAAAATACTTCAATGGAATGAAGGGGAGGAGAGGTTACGAAACCTCGCAGCAGTCGCGCCGCAATGAAATACTTTCACGGAGATTATTGTGGCATCACGGGACCTTGAGCAATAGTGGGGAAAAGGGGAGATCTGTATCCAAAAGTGAAGATGCATGCCTATTCTGATGGACAATGGTAGAAAATCCACATTTATATCGTAAGGACCAGTCTTTCTGTAAGACAAGCCTTGTTGGCTACCTACAAAATAAAGTTAACTTAAAAGTTGCTAATTTTACCGGCCTTTAAAGAATGATGGGCTGAGCCGATTCTGGCCAGGATTTGAGCTTGACGATGTTCTGCCAAACACCCCAGCCTTATACCAAGCTACTGTTAGAAGTGGGTAACAATAATGATAATTAAATTGTGACTGCCAGCTACCACGTGGATGCAAGCAATCATCTCCCAAGGCACTCAAAATGAACAAGGAGACTCTGTGAGTTCCAGTCTTATCCACAGCAACACATGCTCAAGTCAAAGAGAAATCGAGCGCGGTGGCGACGGTGGCGGTGGTGGTGGCGACATCAACCACAGTGCCTTGAGGAGGCACGGGGAGGCGCAGACAAAGGGCCATCTCAAGCTGTCGGCATGAGACAAGTGTCCTGCGATCCGTGGAGAAACGGGCAGCCTGCGGAGACACCAGCCTCTTCTCAAGGCGCGACGCAGTCGTAAATCTATGCACAGTCCCAGGCAGTCATATAATAGGGCAGCAGAAGAGTCCTTTTTGGGCCCTTTACATTGGAGTATGCGCGTGGAAAACATTTGTAAAATGAGGTGTAGAATACGGTTGTAATCATTCGTTGTGTCAGTATTCTAAGCGCCGAGTCCGTCACTTGTGGTGGATCATAAAGTGATCGGCGAGTGTTCCATTTTCATATTTCTTTCCCAACATAATTGTGAGCAATCCTCGTATTAACAAGAATTAAATCCTATGGACAGCACTGGCCTTCCTGCTCCTCACATTCGTCTGGAAAAGTTGACATGTGCCATTAGAATCTGCCTACAAAATTCCGCCAACTGGAACCTAGCCTCTAGAGTGAAACACGGTAATTTACCTAAACATGCACATTCAGGACAAAACAGTGGAAAGTATTACTT